ACAACATAGAAAACAATATAAACCAATAATTCTATCTTCCTTAGTTGAAAGGGCCCAGCACAAAACAGAAAGGAAAGAAAAAAACACCTAAGATGCAATCCCTACCTAAATAGCTTCTCCCAGGTCTAGAACTTCTCACCTCTCTCTCACAGTGTTTCTGTTAAGTCTTCCGATTGGCGAGGGCATGTTCTTTGCATTTCTTAGAGGGAGGGGTTATCACTTCTATTCGCAGCTGAGAGGTGGAAAGGGCTTGAAACTTCTGTAGACAATGTTAATTATTTCAATGTGTAGAAAATATAGCTATGGTTCTCAAAGGAGCAAACTATTGGTGCATGTCATATATGCTACAGCTATATGCTGCATACAAAGCTGTTGCTTTGGTGTGTTACAGGAATAACATGTAAGTTTTATGTAAACCATAACTTTAAATGCTTTTTACTGTGAATGTAAAAGTTGATCAATCCTGAAATTCTGCTTAGAAGCTTAGAAATAACACTTTCTTTTCCATGTAGGTGTCTTGTTTTGCTGCCATAATTGATGTTTTAATTAGGCACAATATGAATTTAAAACACCACACAAGAAAAAGAAGTAACAAATGTTAGCTTCCATGGTTTGTTTTGGATCACTGGCTGTGGGGCACAGACATCCACCCACAGTGGTGTTGAGTTGGACCGACCGATCCAGCCACATAACTCACAAGAATCTCTTTTCAACACTCAAGATGTTCAGCTAAGTTCAATAGTGAAGCCTGTAGCTGGCAATGCTAACTGGCACAGGCAAATGTACATTCATTAGCATGCTACTTTAAATCTCAAATCACTATCTATTTCATGTTATAAAAGATTTAGAACCTTGGTGAAGGGGCTACATCCAGTACACATGACACAAATATGTCCTAATGTTTTTTAAACAGTCTCTTACTGACTTAATGGAGTGGCTAGGTGAGCCATTAATGGCATAAGTTTCAGTGACCCAAGAACCTCCTCCTTTCTATCCTGTTGTAATCAATTCTTACTTTCATGCAAGAGTCAAAATGTTTACACTAATTTCTGGCATGGTTCCTCAGAAACCTAGGCAAAATGAAGGGTATGAAAAGTACAATAATTTACATAATGCTATTTATCACATTCCAATTGAACACATGCAACCAGGAAATTAATATAAAAACTGAGAAACCTTGTCCTGATTGGTATCCCCAACATTACTGTTAATGGTTCCTAAGGTTAAATTCAGATACATCAATTATGTTATAAGGAAAGTTAATCTGTGTCTGACTTAAATAACTTAGGTTTGATTCTCCTGGATATACATATCTTATTGTTAAGAAAGGGTTAATTTTCAGTGTGCTGAAGAGAATAGGTTTCTATGCATTAACTAGTAACATGGACTGAAATCAAACTTAAAAGCCTAAGAGATTTATTTTCTCTTTCAAGACACCCAATAAAACTAGAATGGTTTTAGAGTCATAATGATCTGGCTTTTAATTGTGGCTGGGTGTCTTGCTAGCTTGAAGTCACAGGGAATCAAGTTTTCATCCTCTTTAAAATGCAGTTAATGGCACTTACCTTAAATTGTGGCTGGGTGTCTTGCTAGCTTGAAGTCACGGAATCAAGTTTTCATCCTCTTTAAAATGCAGTTAATGGCACTTACCTTACAGAACTGACTAGTGTCCAGGACAATGTTGATCCATAATAAATGCTAATTGTGTTATTACACAAAGGAAATTACTGATTTCTTATTCACAAAGCTTTGTATTAATTATACAGTGTTCATAAGTGGTGATCACAAAGTAATGTAATCTCTTAATTTGGTATATGTCATGAAATTATTTAATATAGCATGTATGAAGTACTATTTATTACTTTTATATTACAGAAAAGAAACCAAGGAACAGAGAAGTTATGTAATGTTCTCAAGGTCATTCAGTAGAAACCGGAGACAAACCTAGCTGTATGACTGCAGAACAGCTTCTTTCAACCACTTCAGTAACAACTGGGAATACTAACGTAAGATGAGAGAGTTCACCTGACAAACACAAGGCTCTACTTTCTGTGCTAGGCACCAGCACCCAAAACATCAACATCCCCACATCAAAATTCAGAACCTCTAACCTTTGAGGAGTTTCCAATATGGCGACGGGAAGCAATTACATCACCTGAGAGCTATGATTCAAAACCTGTGCTATTTCTCTGGTTAGGAAACAAAAGGTCTCCTTAAAACCCCTCTTACTTAAGAAGCATAAAAATATGGGCTAACATAATTTGCTTATGGAATTAATCAAGGTGTCTGCATTTCTAAATAGGAACAAAAATGTTACCTTTATGTTACTCTTTTATGTGATTGCTCTAATGTGTCTAACATTATCAAAATGGGTCATGAAAGAAAAGCCTCTCTATCAAGAAAACCAACTATTAGATCAACATGTGAATCAAAGCCCTAAGGAAGTCATACAAGCAAAGGAAGGTAGGGAAAATCCTGTTCAGAAACAAAGAACAAACAACAACTAGGTAGATACAGAATTATTGCCTCTATGTTTTTTGTACATTTCCTTTATCTTTCCTGTTACAGTTTACATTAATTATTTCCCACTCTCTCAAATGCACAAATATGTTAGGTAGGCTTATGAGAGATTATCTGAAATGATTTATGAGCTTTAAAAATGAGGTTACTGTTATGTACTCTAGAGGGACAGACGACTTATGAGCCATTCCCTCCCAAAGCAGTGTGTACAATTCATCCAACACACATAAAGAAAGATGACTATGTTGAAGCAAAATGCTAATCCTATTTCAATTTTAAGCATTTGCTTTAAGAACTATCCTGCTGATACTAAGTAATTGTGTAAATTAAAACTGGAATACTAACCTAGCAGTTGTAGGGGCTGCCTTTTATTCATTTTAAAGGGGAGACAAATTGTTCAGAAGCCAAGTGGGTTGGTCAAAGTAATGGAATAATTTTCAGTTCAGCTTGGGTGAAAGCTGTTTAGAGGGGAATTTTCTGTATCCTCTTGCAATGAACAACAGAAACCAAAATTAACCAGAAACATGGGGAAAATAGGAAATATTTCATAGAGATCTTTTCAAAGGCAATTGACATATAATGTAAGACTGTCTATTTTGCAAATATAAACCTAGCTATCAATGACATTTCCTTGCAAAAAGGACCACTCTTAGAAACACATAGCTCAGCGCTCACCTGATTCTGTCTGTCTGCTGGCACCCCTCAGCATGTGGCCGAAATTTGCAGGTGTTCTTTCAAGGTCTGGTTATTTCCACATCTTCCTTTTCACTGACTATAATCCGCTCATTAAAATCTGCATCCCTCATATATTTGAGGTTAATTTTGCTTTTCAAGTGCTGTGATGGCAACAGTTCTGTTGTGGGGTCTGGATGTTTTTCCTTTTCTTTGTTAGCAAGTAAACCTGAAGGTATCTTGTAGTAAGACTTCGGGTACACTGACTGTCTCCTGCTTATGTGCAGAACATGTTTATATTGCTGTCTTCATTTCATTTGTTGGCTTCTCATTTCTCGGTGAAAGAACTGCACAGAAGCATCTTCAAAAATTGTTATCAAATAACTGGCATTTAATTCAGATCCTGCCTTATTGTGGTTTGAGTGTAACATGTAAAAGATGACATTTTTCTTTTTGATTCAGTCATTATGGGATAACATAAACGATTTATATAAAATGTAAAAGCATTTTGTGATTAATTTCACTTCTTTGTTGTCTTACACTTAATTTATGCCATTTATTGAAATAGTGTTTTTTTTTTTTTCTTATGAAATCATGTAAGTAGGAACCATCTGGAAAGGTTACTGTGGAAACGGCAAGGCCTGAGGGGGTGGGGCTAAAGAGCAAAAGATGCCATGACAACCTTTTTCGGGTTTCCCAGGAAACATGGGTTGCTATGGGAACTGCATCAGTCAGGTCCGAATTAGTAACTTCCGCTGGAAGGGGTGTCTGCCACTTTAATCTTCTTGTGACACCACATAAGCTTATCTCTCACATGCATTAGGAATTTTTGTTGTTTCTCTTGGCAGCACTGAAAACGAGTTTCTAGACTTTTGTAGATGTTGGTTGGGGCTTGTACTCGCAACTTCACTGGAAATTCGTGTGTAATACTTTAAAAATTCTTTGCAAACTCCAAAGGGTTAATAGTCAGATCAGGACATTTGGGCCATTTCCCTTTTGGTTCAAAGTTATTGTGAACCTCAAATTCTTAGAGGAGAGATTCAAACTGAAAGACCAGTCAAAAACAAAATAAATTCATGGTGGGTTTATAAGTCATTGCTTTAGACTTTCTGTCCACATATCCAAAGGTTGGATAATTAAACTAAACAGTCAAATAACAATGAAAGGTCCACCAAACAGGAGCATCATTTAAGTTCTGCCTCCTTTACTTAGTAAAGAAACAACTATCTTTTGATTTTGAGGTTAAACAGTTACTCTGACACTTTAGTTTCATTTCCTCCCAGGATGTAGTTTTTCATAGGGCGTGCACTAGAAACCAAGCTTTAATGTAAGCTTGTTGGTTACAAAATTAAAAGACGGGGGAAAGAGAGAGAGGAGAGAGAGAGAGAGAGAGAGAGAGAGAGAGAGAGAGAGAGAGAGAGAGAGAGAGAGAGAGAGGGCGGACAGAGAATGCAGCCCACTTGCAGAACAGGCACCTGTTTCAGTATGAAGCAATAGGGAGAGGGAGGATGAAATGTGCTTTTCCACCTCTTCACGTCCGTTCCTTGATGAATGGTCTGGAAATGTATAAATCAAGGGCACACACAGACCAAGGGGGCACGTTCCACATAATACTGGGCATAGTTTGTCAACTGAATCGTATATTAGACATCAGTGAATATCTTTTTAATGTTGACACAGGAGTTGGGATTATTGTTCGTGGTGCAAGTGGCAGTGGAGTTGCCCGTTTTGAAAGGGGTCTGGGGGAAAGCGCTGTGGTTCATACCCCCCTCTTCGATCACCATATACTCCGACTTACTCAGGGTGGAGTTACTCCGGGCTTTTCGGAGCTCCTCAGCTGAAGAGGAGAGGTGCTGGCAACTTCCCACGTGCATGTACTGGGCTTGCTCTTCCCCTTCTGTCTCCCGGTGGTAGAAGTAATTGAAGTTGGAAACAATTACAGGAACTGGCAGTGCAATGGTCAAGACACCTGCGATGGCGCAAAGAGAGCCCACAATCTTGCCTCCTATGGTCACTGGGTGCATATCACCGTAACCCACAGTTGTCATGGTTACCACTGCCCACCAGAAGGCATCCGGGATACTGTTAAAACCCGAAGAAGGGTCGTCTGCCTCAGCAAAGTAGACTGCACTGGAGAAAAGGATGACCCCTATAAAGAGGAAGAAGATGAGCAGCCCCAGCTCTCGCATGGAAGCCTTCAGTGTCTGCCCCAGGATCTGCAGCCCCTTGGAGTGGCGGGAGAGCTTGAAGATGCGGAAGACCCTTACTAAGCGGATGACCCTCAGGATGGCCAAAGACATTGCCTGCTGCCCATTACCCTGTCGCTCAGCCAGCTCAGTGCCCAGAGTGATGAAATAAGGAATGATGGCCACAATGTCTATGAGGTTCATGATGTTTCTGGAGAAGGTGGCTTTACTGGGGCAAGCGAAGAACCGCACTAGCAGCTCAAAGGAGAACCAGATGATGCACAGGGTTTCCACCACGAAGAAGGGGTCCGAAAAGCTGGAGGCTCCAGAGGCGGCCCCCGACGTGCTGTTGCTGGTGGCCTCGAACACTTCCTGCGACGGGGAGGCGGGGTAGTCTTTCTCGTCGCGGAACTCGGGCAGGGTCTCCAGGCAGAAGATGACAATGGAGATGAGGATGACCAGCACCGACACGATGGCAATGCCCCGGGCCGGCCCCGGGGTTTTTTTGAAGACCAGCCACACCTGGCGCTGGAAGTCTCTGCGGGGCAGGGGCCGCTCCTCCTCCCGCAGGAAGCCCTCGTCCTCACGGAACTTCTCCATGGCTTCCTCGCCCAGCTGGTAGAAGCGGATCTCCTCGGAGAAGATGTCGATGGGCACATTGACCGGCCGGCGGATGCGGCCCCCGGACTGGTAGTAGTAGAGGATGGCGTCGAAGCTGGGTCGGTTGCGGTCGAAGAAGTACTCATTGCGGAGCGGGTCGAAGTACCGCATGCGCCGCTTGGGGTCGCCCAGCAGCGTCTCTGGGAACTGGCAGAGGGTCTTGAGCTGCGTCTCAAAGCGCAGCCCCGAGATGTTGATGACCACGCGCTCCCCGCAGCAG